TATATAAAATGTTTTAAATGATATAATTTTATTAGTAATACTTTTTATAATTCCTATTTCTGTATTTTTTATTATTTTTTATTATTTTTTCTTGCGTTCTTGTTATTAATTTTCATTTTATCCATTTTGGTTTTATTTTTTAAATCTGATTTTGTTTAATTTTTTTTATATTATTTTTCTTAAAAATATGATTTTAGAAATATGATTTAAGATTTTTGTTAATTATTTTTTATTCACTTTTTATATTTTGTTTTAAGTCAAAATGTGAATTTAAAACTATGTAAATAAGATTTTGTATTTTTCCTAAATTTTTTTCCTAAATTTTTTGATTTTTTTTCTCTTAGAACAGAAATTATAAAAATATTCTTTAAATAATGATTATTCTTTTTTAAATTTATTAATGTCTTCATGTCTTTCATTAATAATTTTAATTTTTTTTTACTTTTTTAGTTATTTATATAATGTTTTATATGCATTTACTAATAAATTGTTTTAATTGGCTTTAAAAAAACTTAATTTTTATTTTAAATTTTTTTATTTAAGATTTTTTTCAATCCTTTTTTAAGAATTTTACGTTATTCAGGTTTTTTTATAATAATTTATTTTTTATGATATATTAAATATTCTTAAAACTAGATGTTTTTGTTCATTTTTCAGATATTTAGCATTTGAAAGATTCAATATCTTTTGTTATTTTGCTTTTAAATTAATTTATTCTTAAGTTTGCTTTGAAAATCCATGCATTTGTTTTTTATTGTTCTTTTTGGCTTTTTATGTATTTTTCTTATTTACGGAACTTTTGGAATTTTTCATTTTATATTATGTTTATAGAACTATTATGCATGTTTTTTGATTGTTCAAGGCATTTTTTTAATATATAAAAGACTGTTCTTTTTTTTGAATTTGAATTAATTGTAAAAAATATGATCAATTTATAAAGAATTGATTTTTTTTTAGAAAAAAAAAAATAATTTTCAAAAATAGTAAAATAAATGCATTGAATGTATTTAACTATATTTGTATTTTTCATAATACAATTAAAAATGAAAAGGCTTTACTCTTTAAATTATAATCAATTGTAAAACATTAATATTTTATAAAATATAATTTTTTTATTTAATATTCATAACTTAATTCTTTAATTTATTTCCTAAAAATATTCAAATGAATTTTTCATTCTTATAAATGAATATTAGCTATATAATCATCAAAAACATTTCATGAAGATGCTAATAAATGAATATTGTTCTAATTTTAAACAATTATCCACATTCCCAATATTGTTCCTGCAATCATCCAGATTAACTCTATTCCCCTTAATTTTCTTGGCCTAATTCCAAAGCCTATTATACGTCTATCGTCAGAGGATATTGTTGGTTTAGGCCTTAATGAACGTGTAGTTGAACGTGTAGTTGAACGTGTAGTTGAACGTGTAGTTGATGAACGTGTAGCTGATGAACGTGTAGTTGATGAACGTGTAGCTGATGATTTTGTAATTGATGTAGTTGATAAACTTGTAGTTGACGATTGTGTACTTGTTAATATTGTAGTTGAATTTGTTAGTGTTGGTTTCGGCCTTGGTAATTCCGATGATTCCGATGATTCCGGTAATTCTGGTGATTCTGGTGATTCTGGTGATTCTGGTGGTTCTGGTAATTCTGGTGGTTCTGATGGTTCTGATGGTTTTGGCGGTTTTGGAGGTTTTGGCTGTTCAGGCAATTTGCTGCATACAATAGTAAAGTTAAGACATAAAGGAAGAACTTTAACATTAGTTTCATTGCAAGAAGATGCTATAGATGAACATAAAAGTGTTAATTTCTGACATTCTATTCTAGATTTAGAATTAGTAAACAAAAAATTAAAGATTTTTAATGTAAGCTGATCACATATTTTTTCTAAATGCAATTTCAAAATTTTGCATGTATCATTAACTCTAGTACATAGCTCATTCATTTTTTTTTTCGTAATAGTATTTTTGCATATTTCATCTAATCTGTTTTCACATTTACTACGATTAAATATTTCTTTGCCAACGACTTTGATCAAAGTGATAACGTTTTCCTTTTCAGTTGAAATTTTGTTACATGATTGTTCAACTTGAAAACATATACTAGTTAAATTAGAACAGGTTTCTTTGAGCATTTTACAGTAATTGAGGAATTGAGAACAACGACCATAATTTATATGATTTATTTGACCATTAGAAGATTTATAATATGATAAATAAAAAGATAATTGTTCGCAGTGTATCGAAATTTGATCTAACATTTGTGTACATGATTTATTTTTATTAGTACATATGTGACTTGCGACATTTTTCGAACAATAATCGTTGAGATAATCAAAACATGTTGTGTTATTTTTAAAAACTGAATTTTTTTTCTTAAGTATACTTAATTTAAATTCCATTAACTTATCTACATTTTCACATATCTTTTTGAAATTTCTGCATAATTTCAATGTAGATTCAGAATATGGTCCTAATTCATTACATTCTTTTTTTAATTGTCTACACGTAGTATATTCAGGATTTGGGATTGCCGCTTTTAAGTTTTCCTCTAATCTTTCGCAGTTTTTATCAAGAAGGTTTGTTAAATTTCTGCATGTTTCTTTTGGATGTAAACATTTATATAGTATAGGATAACTATGATACATAAAATTGCCACATTCTTCTAAAAGAGCATTTTTACAATCGCTCATAGCTCGATATAAAGCTATGATTCCTCGATTATCTCTTTTTAATTCAAATTTTCCACTTAACTTTTTTATTAAAATTACATTTGTAGCTGCATCTAAATTTTCTTGATAACAAACAACTCGTACATATTTACAAGTATCGTAACTCATCCAGTAATAAAAATATTCACCAATAAAATAACATATTGAAAGATATTCTTCACATTCGGTTTTTGAAAAAGGACGATCTGAATACCACCAAAATTGATTACTTTCTTTAAACTTTTTTAAAAGTGAATAACAATAATCTTTGGTTTTGTAATATATGTCTTTACAAATTTTATATTCATTATTCGAAGATGCATTGCATATAGGCTTAATGTAGCTTAAATAATTTATCGAAGAACATTTTTTATCCAACATTACTTTACAATCATTGTCTACTGCTGTTGTTTTATTTATTAAAAAATTGACAATTAGTAAATCTGAAAGATTCTGTATTTTGGTAACATGTATACCTGAATTATATAATTTTCCATAGGCATATTCAACACCATTTCTGTTCATATGAGTAGACGGGTTTTCAAGAAGACCAAAATTATAATTTTCCGAAATATCATAAAAAAAGCCTTTTTCTGCGCAATCCATTTTTAATAAACGGCACTGTGAACGAAGAATTGGACAGTCTGAAAGAATAGAATAGCATTTTGCTAACAAAGTTCTACATTTTTCTTGTGAGATTTGTTTCAATGGATGTGAAATCTGAGAACTTTGACATTCTTTTTTAGATTTCAAAATAAATTTTTTACAAATATCCTTAACATTAATACATAAACCGAATAATTCAGGACTTCGTTGATTAATTGATTGACATTCGTTTCGAAGTTTCCTTATGCAAGTATCTAAATCATTTGAAGTTCCTCTCAAAAAATCATAAACAATTATTTCAGCCACTCCCATACGGACTTTATTATAGCAATACTCTTTTAATGTAGTACATTCATCACCAATATAACTTGGAGCATGATGTTCTAGGAAAAAGCATTCAATCAGTAACTTACTACACCGATCATACCCATCTTTTTGTCCATTTGAAAAGATAGTAACTAACTCTTTTACTTTCTTTATAATTTTATTGTATAGATTATTGCATGATTCTTGAGGCTTTTTGCAAATCTTTTGGAATCTTTTACTTAAGTCCTCTATATCAATGCAGGCTTCCTTTAATTTAGCTTCACAATAATAATATAAATCATAGCTATTTAATATAGTAGCTAGATAATAGTAGTCATCTTTGTAATTCTGCCATAAATTTTCGTGTTCTATCCATTTTAATTGTTCATATAATTGAACATGGTATTCATCACTCTTAAGTATAGAGGAAAGTAATGGATCATCTTCATATAATGGAGAATAATCATTGATAAGACCTAAAAAATTAAGATTAAGAAAAAAAAACAAAAGCTACCTAAAAAACCGTCATCTTCTGAAAAAACTCTTTTTATACTAATAAAGATTAAAAAAATACATGTTCCTAAAAATAATTGCATAAAAAAAAATAAAAAACAATAAATTAATAAATGAATTTATCTTATTATTTTTTAATATACAATCGATTTGAAAATAGATAAAAAGTTACGATATTAAAAAAATCATTTACTAGTATGTTAGTTAAAAAATAAAAAATATTATTTTTATACATATATATATATATAACTCGATTATTTATTTTAATAGTTTTTAATATGCTTTTTGTTCTATTTTTAGTAATCTATTTCAAAATATTGATTTTTAAGTTGTCTAGTTTAGAAGGTTATTTAGAAAAAATTTAATAGTTTATTATTTAGAATATTATAATAATAAAAGGATTTCTTTTTATGAATATTTTTTATTTGAATTATTTTTTATCTATAAGTTGAACTATACCTAATTTTTCAAAGGATTATTAGATATAACAAATTTATTTAACGAAATTTATAGCTTTTTTTCTGTGTTTGTAATTTTTTAATTATTTATTTATTATATTTACTATATTTAGATAGTTTTTTATTTCTTTTTAAATTTGTATATATTATCATTTATATTTTAATTTTTTTTTTTTGTATTCTTATCGGATTTTGTTTGTTTTTAAAATTTTTTTCGTGAAAAATGTATTAACTTTTAAAATTTTTGTCAATTTTTATTTTTAGATATTTAAGGTTACTACATTTAACATTTACTTTGAATGTATAAGAAACATTAATAACTAAAAATTATATTAGATTATTTGTTTATGAGATTTGAAATTAGTATTTTATATGTAACGCGATATTGATAATTTGCTAGTAAATTATTTAATCTAGATTTTAATTTCCGTTTTTAAGACTAATTTTAATTTTATAAATTTAATAAGAATGGTTTTTATTATAATTATATATATATATTAAAGGTTTAGTGAATGTTTTAAAAATTGTTAAAATATTTCTTGGAAGTAAAAATTGTTAGAAAAATATACT